TCTGAGTTAATTTTTTTATGTCCTGTAGGCAGAACATCTTTACTTACAGCCTGCTGACTGCACATTGACTTCACAGGTAACTGAACTGTATGCTACAATTACACAGCAGAAAGATACTTGAAAAGGCACTTCATGCTCCTTATTTTTCCCTCGTACATTTGACATTTGTGGACCATTTCCCGCAGTGAGCCAGAGTCTCTTACCTTGGTTCCCATAATGCTATGTTGTTTACTGCCATCTTCTTTGGCCTCTTCTCAGTCTCTGAGGGTTCTTTTAATTCACAGATTACTTTGTGAGTGTATATGTGTGTGTTAGTCCCTGGGCTTTAACTTAGGGGTCTGGGCACTAGTCACTTAGATTTTTTTTTTAACTCAAGACTGGCACTCTACCACTTGGCACTCGACATCCAGCTTTATTGTTACTTAATTTAAGTCTCAGGACTTCACTGCTCAGGCTGGCTTTGAACTGGGACCATCACATCTCAGCCTCTGACTAGCTAGGTTACTTTAGTTAACATTCAGAACATTAAATATTGGGGTTCTGGGGTATTTTCTCCCACTGTCACCTATTTTCTTATTCTACACTTTCTGAAAGATAGTCATTTATCTGGCTTCACCACATATACACAGACGATGCTAAACTATGTCCAGCACAGAACTCCCTCTGGAGCTTTGCATCTGTCCAATGAGTGATCTATTTAGACACTTGCATAGCTCAAAACCAATGGAGCCAAATTATCTCAATACTGTGTGTACTAACTTCACTTCTCTTGGGCTCCCAACACAGTGAATACCCCCTAGATTGGTTCTCCCCCAGCTGTTCAAGCCCAAATCCCAAGTATCAGCCTTGCTGCTTTCCTTTCCTCATGTCTTTCTCCAAATCTAAGCAATCCCAGAGCCCTCTTGTGTTTATCTCCTGTGTATCTTCAACTTGGTCCCTGCCCCAAGCCTACGTTCCTCATTCTCTACTCATCATCTGAACCATGGAATCCACCAGCTAGCTGATCTCCCCGACACATGTCATCCTTCCCTATGGGCAGAGCAATGAGGCCGCATATCTCATCATACACAGTGTCCCCTCACTAGAGCTCCTCTCCTCTTTTAAGAACAGGAACAAGCAGTGAGAACAGTTCTCTAGCCTGTAAGAACTGTCCTGGCTCTCTTTACCAAAAAGACATGTTGGACATTCATTCTCTCTTTCACTTTCACTACGGTGCCTCCTATTGTGCCTAGCCTTCATCTTGGGATACTCGCTTTTCATCTTCGCTAGGATAATTCCTTGTCATCCCTGAGGAATTCCTCTAGGAGACACCTCCTTCCAACATATCTTCCCTGGATTTCCAGGCTTTGAGAGATGACACTTCCATCTAAAGTCATCCAGTTTTCTCCACCATATCTGTCAGGATTGTGAGCATTAGCCAGGATCCTAGCTTGTTCTTGCAGTACTTCTGGCATGCAGAATGGTACCTGCCACTTGATGGATTCTCTGCCCATATACAAGGAACCAATGCATGTACTAGGGAGTACTCACTGCTATAACAACTTCATTAATTCTCCTTGCATGGGACAGTGCTTTTCTGAGAACCTGGGGATGCTCAAGAGAATTCTTAGTCATAATTCTTTCTTGGTCACTTTACTGTTTAAGCCTCTTTGCATCTGTCTCAGTTTGATACATTTACATTTTGAAAGAGGATTTTGTTTAGAAGATCGAAATGAATGAATATAGTAGGCAAGTCCATTGTACGAAGTACTGGAGTCCATGCAGAGGACTGCACTCTGTGAAGGAATGGCCATCACTCTTCATTTTCGTTAATTTTTAAAAGAGTTGTTCTTGCTGGATTTCGAGATCCATTTGCTTGTAATACCTTTGAAAAATTATTCTCTATTACCTTTCTTTTTCTTTCTAATTTTGGGTCAGTCTTGGGCTTGAACTCAGGATTTAGGTATTGTCCCTGAGGTTTTTTTTTTTTTTTTTTTTTTTGCTCAAGGTAAGTGCTCTACCGCTCTACCGCTTGAGCCACAGCTCTACTTCTGGTAATTAATTGGAGATAAGAGTCTCACAGACTTTTTTTTGCCTGGGCTGGTTTTGAACTGAGATCCTTAGATCTCAGTCTCTCAAGTAGCTAGGATTAAAGGCACAAGCCACTGGCATCTAGCTTCTGTGTGTGTTTATAAGGAGAACTAATACTTTCAAAAAGTTATGCTCCCCCGACTGAAGGGGAAGAAAATACCCCAGTGCAGTTCATAGTCTGGGGTGCAATAAAATCTCTAATATTGGAAAGTGACATTGTGCATGGGCACTTTATCAATCCTCCCTCCTGCAAACAGATGTCCTCTGCTGACCTCCTTCCTCTTCATTTGGGACTCTCTCTTGCCCCAGGCGGAGGGAGGCTGCAATGGAAACTTCTAGATGAGTTGCAGCAGCCCCAATTACATTACTTCAGGCTGCTACACAAAAGGCACAGTTCTGTCTGGCATGCAGGGGATGTCACATTGTCAGCTGGTGGTAGAGAGCGGTTCCTTTCGCTCCCTATCTCCTCCTTGTAGGAAACACACTCGTCCGAATTGGATAGACCTGTAGCATATGGAGCAAGTGATGTGGTGATAGGATTGAGGTTTCACGGGAAAACCCAGTGATAAGAATAGCAGCACAGGGGCTGGGAAGGTGGCTCAGTGGTAGAGCTCTTGCCTTGCATGCATGAGGCCCTGGGTTCAATTCCTCAGCACCACATAAGCACAAAAAAAAAGCCAGAAGTGCACTGTGGCTCAAGCGGTAGAGTGCTAGCCTTGAGCTGAAGAGCTGAGGGACAGTGCCCAGGCCCAGAGTTCAAGCCCCACGACCAGGCCCCCACCCCAAAAAAAAGAATGGCAGCACAATCGTCATGCTTATCCTTTAGAGTCTACATTATATTCATTTGTAGCTCTCATTTGCAGTAACTACTGACTGCAGTCTTCACGAACGTCCTCTGACTACCAATCTGCAGAACTTTCTATATGGTGTTTGCTCCAGCAACCTTGGGATAGTTTTTGTTAAGTCAAGAAGCCACCTTGTCAGTATTTCCCTCTTCTGTGATGATTAGATATAATGACAATAATGAATGTTACAGTAAAATCAAGTCTCTAGGGTATCCCTGAGGTGTTGCAGAGAGACCTACAAAAAAGGAGGGAGGGAGGCAGGGGAAAGCATTATTTAACTGGATCTGAACAGGGTTTGGTCTGTGATGGTATTTATTGCAGCATGTGGGTGCTTATTACACAATATTATACCTGTAGTCACTTGGGGGATGAATATGGAGAAAGGAGCTTATGAGGAAACACAGTTGGGGGACTGTGTAGAAAGGAGATATTGGAGAAGAGTGATAAAGTTATAGATTGCTTTCTCCTGCAGTGCTCAATCAATCAAGGTGTTATATTCTGCCATAGCTTTCCCCATATGTAAGTAGATCGTGTGGCTCACCGCAGGGACTCATGGGCCCAGGAAGCTCTGACAATTATAGGATGTAGGTTGAAATAGTACTGCTTTGCATCCCTCTAGGATTTCTCACCACGAGGGCCGGACAAGAGCTGAGCGGATTCCTACTTGTATCTTGGGCTGGCAATTTGTGCTAAGAGAGAATGCTTCAAAAAATACCACTGGGAAGCTTCATGATCACAACAGAGGAGGCAGGATGCACCAGAGGAATGAAGCCAGACTCACAGGATAATCACAGGTGCAGCAAGATCTAGAAATTCAAACCACCTCTATGTGTCAGAGCCCAAACCTGGCCCACAGGAGAGCTACAAAAGCATGGTAAAAATGGCTAAATGATTGAAATGACGGGAGCCTTTTGACCATCATTTTGCATCTTGATGGTACTGTGGTTCAAAGTCAGGGCCTTGCATTGGCTACACTGGCATTATATACCATTTGAGCTACACATCCTCATCCCTTTTCACTTTTTTTGGTGGGGGAGGGGGGAGAGGACATGGACTGCAACTTCCTATTCATACCTCCTGGTTAGCTAGGATTATAAATGCAAGTCCCTGTGCCCAGCCATGCAGTATCTTTCAAGTAGAAAATATAATGCTTGGGCCCTGCAAGTAACATCAGTCTTCAACAATCCACAGACCTGGCACAGACAGCCAGTACTGATGACCATAAGATTACTTCAGTGACAAACTTGAGACAGTGTCACCCTCAGAATAGGAGAAAGAGGAGAGGAAGAAGAAAGAGAAGAAAGAAAACAGTAGAGTCAGAGCTCACAAATGTATAACACACACACAAACACACACACACACACACACACACACACACACACACACACACAAACACACACACTCTCTCCATCTCCCTTTCCCTCTCTCTCTCCTTCTCCCTCTCCAGGTAGCAAAGGTCCCAGAAAGGAGGAATAAGGAACTGTTAATATAATGCCTAAACCATTGCAAACATGCCTGTTTAAAGAGAGTAATAAGCAAAAGACACATGTTCATTGGCCAACACATTCACAGAACATTTCAATCACTGTCAATATTTTTGTTTAAAATATCCTAAGTGTATAGTTATAATTTTTTCACTTCAGTTTTTTTTCTGTTGTATGCCAGGTATGGGGAGGGGAGACAAAACCAAAACAAACAAAACAAATAACTATTAAGAAAGTCCTAGCTCTTGTGGATTTTGAGCATGCATTTTGGGGAGCCCCCAGGGGTGACACAAGCCTCAGTAATTACATTCACTCCAGCTGTGCATTCACACATCAGCCCCACATCATTCCTCAGGCCAGCCTATTTTTCTTAGCATCCTGTGATTTGTGTCCAGAGCAGAGGAAAGGACAGCTTTGCGTCTCTCCCTCCTACAATACTGGTGCTGTTAGCACCCTTTGCTACATTTTTTTCCTCCTAAATCATCAGATTTTAAGTCCTTGCATTCTAGTGGAGTTATGCAGAGAAACAAATGCAAGGCTGGGAAGTAGGTGAAGAGTCCCTGTGTGCTCCTGGGCCTGTGGTCTGAGGATTGTCTCTTACCTTTATCATAGATTTCCTTCAAGACCCCTCGCTTGATAAGCTCCTCTCTGCTTTGTCTCATTGAGATCTTCCTCTCCAGAGCTACAAGCAAGAGAGAGACACAGTTGTCAGTAGGTAACAACAACACTACTTTTTTCTATCCAAAGGATCTTCATATTAATAGGTACTGTAGTTAATATTTACATAAGATTCTATAAAATCAACATCCTAATGGTTCACTAATGATATGTGCCAGCTATATATTACATGTTTCTGTTACTATGGTGTGTGTGTGTGTGTGTGTGTATGTGTGTAGTTTGTGTGTGTATGTGTGTGTGCCAATATTGAGGCTGGAACTCAGAACCCTGTGTTCTCACTCTGCTTTCTCATACTTGGCTGTCCTACCATTTAAGCCATACTTCTACTTTGAGCTTTTTGCTATTAAATTGTAGTTAAGAGTCTAGTGGATTTGTCTGGCTAGGTTGACTTCAAACTAAGATCCTCAGATCCCAGCCTCCTGAGTAGCGAGGATTATAGATACAGTCCATCAGTGCCCAGCATAGATAAGCCTTATAATCTGATGACTTTGTTACATCTTCAACATAGTCTTTGAGTTACCTATATTGTATGCCTATGTACTGAATTGGAATTAACCCTGATTTATGGTGTAGCTTCCTCGCAGGAATCAGTACAGAGCAAGACACAGTCCTCTGCTCTGAGCTTCCTGTGAGGCCAGGCGAATTTTCACAAGGGTGATCCTGTCTTGGTGTCAGGACTGGCTTTTGGCTGAGCTACCTCAGATTCATTGAGGAGTTTCTGAATTTGCAATGACTAAGAGCATGAATGCTACAGTTGCTCTTGAAAAGCACTTTGGATTGTCCTTTTGGGGCTCTGGGGACTCTCTGAGGGGCAGTGGGTGACTTCATCAGAGTGCCCACCCCCAGGCCTTCTTCTCTCAGGTTCCGCATGGGAGCAGCCAGGGGAGGAACGGATGGCTTCTCTAAGCTGTGCACCTGAGCCAGATGCAGGGGAGTGGGGCTTCCCTCTGGGAACAGTGGGCACCACAGTGACCAATGAGGCAGAAGTGGAGCACAGGGATGGTGGAGGAGGTGGTGGGGGCAGCATGAAGAGCTCACAGGAGCCTGGGGGTAGGAGTGGGAGGGAGCTGCTTTAGTGCCCTCATTTCAGCCTCCGATCAAAACTGTGGATGAGGCTGTGACCGAGTATTTTAGTTGCTTTTGTCGGTCTGAGACTTTCCACATCGTTTAGAAGCCTAGTTGTTCAGGGGGGTAGAAGTCAACTGTCAAATAGAAGAACCACTCTATGCAAATTCAGATACAGATAAACACACATACACACATCTCTGCAGGAAACACAATTTAGTCTAAAGACTATGAATAAGAGCCAAAAACAAACAAACAAACAAACAGGGAACATGGGATGGTGATTCTTAGTCTGTCACCTGGGACATAGTCAAGTTACTTTGCTCATCTGGGCAAACACAGATGCCTCAGCCCAGCTATTGTGATTCCACAGATGGGGCCCGGCACCTCAATTGTGGTAAAGAGCTCTCTGGCTTATCCGTAGACCTAGCAAGGCTGAGGATCACTGATGATATATTTAAGAACCTATTATTTATAAAATGGCAAAGCTGGGCAAGCCTGCAATCCCAGTTACTCAGGAGGCAAGTGCAGAAAGATGAAGAGTTCAAGGCCAGCTTGGGCAAAATGATCAGGACCCTGTCTCAAAAATCAAACAAAAGGGCTGGGATAGAGCAAGGAATGATGTGTGCTAGGCCTTGGGTTCAATTCTTAGTACTGGAAAAAAATGATTAAAAAAAAAAAGAGCCAGGCACCAGTGGCCCATGCCTGTAATCCTAGCTGATTAGGAGGCTGAGATCTGAGAATCTCGGATCAAAGCCAGCCCGGGAAGGAAAAGTCCATGAGACTCTTATCTCCAATAAACCACTGGGAAACCAGAAGTGGCTCTGTGGCTCAAGTGGTAGAGTGCTAGCCTTGAGCTGAAGAGCTGAGGGACAGCGCCTAGGCCCAGAGTTCAAGCCCCATGACAAAAAAAAAAAAAACTCCAAAAAACAAAAAAGAAAAAAGTTATGTTCTTTTTCTTAAGTGAGAATGAATTAGGTGGATGAGAGAGAAAAACAAATACCAGGCCAGTTGCACTCACCTATGGCTTATAGAATAAAATAATAGACACCTGTGAATGAGTTTCAAGTCACAGAAGGAAGCTCAGTGGGGTTGTTCATACCAAAGTCCACAAGTAAAGGTGGGTGGAGGAAACACTGGGGCAGAGCTTGTCTGTGGGAGGAGCATCAGGAGCTACACAGAATGGCATGAGATGGCATGAGGAAAGCAGAGGAAGACTGGAAGAAGGGCACCAGGACTATAGCCAGGGGCAGGGGGCAGGGGGCAGGGGGTAGTGGCTGAAATGCTCTGCTTGATCAGAAAAAAATCTGGCAGCAAAGTGAGAAAGGTCTGGATAGCAGGAGAAAAGCACAGGTTTTAAGCAAAACATTGCTACAGATCTTCTGGGTGACACTACGTCTCCACATGGAAAGAGATGCTCTGCCATCCTGTACTTAAGCCACATAAATGGAAGAATATAATGTTTCCCAGAACTTCCCCAACCCACAGACATAGTGATGAGGATGTGGCTGCAGGAAGGCAGGCAGAACCCCAGGCTTGATGGTCCAAGACTATGAGCTGTGGATTAAATGGGCCTGGTCTCAGGCCAACACTCAGCTTTCCAGAACCTGGCTGTCCCACCACACTCGTGAATAACAATGGAGCCACTGCTCATGCTCAAAGGGACTGGAGACAACTAAAGGACCGTCCGACCCTCAAGCAGTCTACAGCTTCCAAGGCTCAAGTCATCATCAAATAATAAAATTATCTAACCTACAATTACTATCTGAGATAAGTCTGCCCTTTTGTGGTGGTATGAGGTTTGAAATCATGACCTTGCAACTGATAGGCAGTCATCCTATTACTATTACTGGAGACATGCTCCAGCCAAAATAAGTCCTCTTAAAAGGTAAGTGCATGAGCTGGGTGCTTGTGGCTCATGTCTGAAATTCTAGCTACTTAGGCTGAGATCTGATGATTGTGGTTCAGAGCCAGCCTGGGTAGAAATGTCCCCGTGAGACTCTTATCTCCAATTAACCACCTCAACACCGGAAGCGGCACTGTGGCTCAAGTGGTAGAGTGCTGGCCTAGAGCACAAAGAGGCTCAAGGATAATGCTCAGGCCCTAGGTTCAAGTCCCGTAACCAACAAAACAATAAAAAAAAGGAAAAGGAAAGTGCTTGGTCCCATGACAAATATCATTCCTTATTGGAATGTCATGGGTTTTCTGAAGATCACTGAACTGAGATATGAAAGATAAAAATATATCTTTTTTTTTCCAGCAAAGTGCTGTTTGGTAAAGCTGAGGAAACACTCTGAACAGAGGAGCTGACCTGTGGCTCCTCATGGAGGAATCATGGTGCCATCGAAGAGCAGAAAGGAAGGTGCTAAGGATGCTTTCACCATCCAAATGGAGAACATCTGAAAGAAGACTGGAGAGGAGGAGGTTGGGCTGTGCAGATCTTCACAGACCATGCTATTCTAAGCTCAGTGGAAAGAAACAATCAGATCTGAGTTTTAGATGGACAGACACTCACGTGAGTGTGGCGGGTGGGCTGGAGCAAAACCTAGTTACTTGATCTGAGGTCACAGCAGGCAGAGGACAATGGCAACTTAGACGAAGGATGCATTCATGATATACTAGGTGGTCACACAGACACTAATGGAAGGTAAGAACTGCGCCAAATGTGTGCATAAATGAGAGGCAGGCGTCAAGATATTCTTCTTGTCTTGAATGAATGGAGGTGCTGTCAATGTCTGAGAAGCATGTTTGGAAGGGGGGGGATAAGTTCAAGGTTAGCCAGGTCCAAGAGGAGAGAGCCAGCATGGGCTTGCAGTTGGACAGCTCATCAAACAAGAAGGAGAAGTGCTGTGTAGCACAGATTATTCCAGACTCCCTTGCACACCAGGGATTCTAGAATATTCTTTTTTGCACAGTAATACTCCTAATGGAAAAGGAGGAATTCCAGGGCCTCAGGGGGTATGTCTTGAGTTTGTTGTCCCATGTATGCCATTTCCTTGATACTTTTCTTTGAAAATTATAGTAAATAGGCTAGGAATGGAGCTCAGTGGTAAAGCATTTGCCTAGCATATTTAAGGCCCTGGATTTGTTCTCCAGCATATCACATACATACATACATACATATATACATACATACACACACACACACACACAAATCAGATTGCACAGAACATAATCATTTTATATAGGAAACTATCCCTCCCTCCTCTACCACCCATTTCTGAGTTAAAATGACAACTTTGCCAAGTCTTTCAGGACTTTCCTAGAGCTGATTAGAAGATCAGGAGGACTCTTACCTAATCAATGGTTCATTGGCTGTGATCAGCCCAGTGATGGTTTTCAAAATCTGAATAGACTACTGGAAGACAGTAGGAACTGGAAGAGGGAACTAGCTGGAGGAAGTAGGTCACTGAGGGCATGGCTTTGAAGGGAATATCTTGTTCCAACCCTGTCCTGCCTCTGCTCTGCTTCCTGACGGCCATATTGAACAGCCACTTCCCTGCTATAATGGACTGAAGCTTCTGAAACAGAGCTAAAAGGAGTCCGCCAACCCTTCAGATGTTCTCCCAGGGACTTAGTCAATCAAGGCCATTGTCAAGTTCACCACTGCTCCAGAAAGTAAAATTAAGTGAGCTGTCTGGTATAGGACACCTCAAACCATTTGACTTTGTTTCCTACTGAACCATAAACACAGAAAACATCATTATTTCCTTTTCACAAATCAGAGAAATGCTCCGTGTCCTTCTCTCCCTTCCCTGTATTGTATTTGACCTGGGGGAGAAGGTAGAAATGGATGGAAAGAGGAGAAATTACGAAAAGTCAAAGAAGTCAGGAGGAAAGAGGCATCAATGAAGACCAGTGTGATTCATATGGCCACCTGCCTGAAGGAGGATGGAAGGGAAGTCCAGGCTGCATGGAGAGCTGCTTCTCTGGGGGGCT